CTAAATGTGAAGATTATTATTTCTTTTTTATGGCTGGTCATCACAAGAAGTATTTCAATAGGAATGCAAAATCCCATAAAAAGCAAGCTTCCTGTTGCTCTTCATAATTCAAGAAATAGGTGACTGTAGCATCTTTATTATAAACCGCTATTTAATATTAAGTTATTCTAGGATGATTAAAATAATCAAAAGAGGGTTGGCAAGATGGTTCAGGAGGTAAAGGCACTTGTCACCAAACCTGATGACCTGAGTTCAATCCCTGGGACCCACAGAGTGGAAGGAGAGAATCAGTTCCTGCAAGTTGTCCTGAGCTCCACATACAAGCCATGACACCCACACAGGCACGCGCGCGTGCACACACACACACACACACACACACACACACACACACTCTAAAAATGTAAAAAAAAAAAATCTAAATAAAAGGTCATTTGAGACATATACAGCCTTTTTACCTCCTTTCTGCAGTTCTTTAAATGCCTCAAAGAACACTTAAAAAGTCACTCTCCTAACAGACCAAGTCGTAATGATTCTTTAGTTTCACTGAAAGGCAACATGTACTATTTAAACGGGAACATATAATGGATGGGCAAATCGCCTTAGCTTTTAAATTATCACCTAAGAATCCTTGAGGAGCTTCTCTGATCAGAATTATATTTTATTGAATTGTGAGAACATTTCTGATTTATTTTTTCAATCTTTTAACTGTTGAAGCATTTCTATATTCCATCCAGGAGTTAACAGAGACCCTTATGTTGTATCCCAAGTTACAAGTTGTAATTTACATCTGTAGAACTTGACTTGATTGTCCTATGTTGCCATGGGTACCAGGTGACTGGTTACTGCTGTTTTAGAGTTACACTACATGTATGTACAGTGTTTTGCATTTTAGCAGTTTTCTGTAAAGGGGGGGCAAGTGAGGGTGAGGGGCCTGCTTGCCCACCTGTGTGACTGCATCTCACCCTACAGGGGATGGCCAGTGCTTGCTGCTCCGTCTTTCTTCATCTTTCCTGTTAATTTATGACAACTCAGGGGGAAAATAGAACAAGCCTAGTTTGGTTACAGGTACACCCAAGCTTGAATAATCTCTGCACTGATGAAAGTGGTATAGTTTATAGTTCATCACCACCGGCTACATTTTGTACAGCATCTATAGCCATAGAAATAGGACAATCTGTAAAACTTTGGGGAGGGTGAGGGATGCGATGACAAAGTGTCAAAAGCAGACACATCTAAAAATGAGGCGGATGTAGCAAACTCTGTCACTGCTCGAGAAAAGCTCTGGGCTTGTGGGCAGTTCTGCAGACATACGCGACTTCAGCACTTTACAACCTATTTTGTACTATGAATGTTCAATACGATTTAATATTTATAACTGATTTCTGAAGGATCTTCTCTAAGTCTATTCTGTTCACTGCATGAGACAAGAAAATGTATGCTAATTTCAGTATGTCAACAATCAAGCGTTTAAATGTTTGGAAGAAAACAAAAAAGATTTCTGATTTGTTCGGTATTAGTGACATTCTGGTACTTACAGATTTGCAATAAATTTATGACTTTTTATTTAAAGAGACTGCTGTCCTGTATTGAAATTCTTTTTAAA